CAGAAGCCTGGGTTGTCCATGATCTCATTTCATCTTTTGATTCATATCCAGAGGGCTTCTGTTCATAGTAGTCTATATCTTCCTTATTTTATCTTTATCTCTTTGTATGGCCATTCATTATGTCGGCTTGGTATTTGTGAGATACTGGTACAAATTGCTGATGATAACATTTCATCCCCTGTCTGTTAGCACAGCAAACAATTTGAAAATGTAATGGTTCATGAGCATGTCCTTTCTCCGTTAAATATTTCCAAATTTGTTCCCATGCACCTTCTTTTCTCCAACTCCCAGCTTTCCTCAACAGTTGAGACAAGCCTTGGCACAGTAGCTCTTACTAAAAATATAGGAATAAGATAGGGGTATCACTGAATATGCTAATAGTCACTTATTCCCAGTGAAGCATACACTGTAGATTGCTGCAATCACAAACAATCTGTTTCATGCTAAATTACCTGTGTGGAAGTGCACTGATCCATATATAATTTTACCATATGTTATCTTGTATTCGTCATCTGTGAAAAGACAACGATATGGTAAAAGTAGTCTTAGTTACTACAATGCATATGTATGCATGTAAGTCTATATGCATTGTGTGGGAAGTGCTTACGTGCATACATTCACACATACACTTTATGAATTTGGTTCAGAACCCAATTCAACTAATAATACAGATTACTTGAAATAGTCAGTTGACCTAATCGTCTATAAGATGTGGAAATCTGCAGCTTTATAGCTTCCATTGAAGATATGGAATACTGGAAGCAATAAGAAGTGAATAAATGAAATATAAAAGCAGCAAGCATTGGTTTAAAAGTTTAATGCAAGGATGGGGAAACCAAGGTGCAAAAGTTGACTTTCAAGCCCATCCAGTTGCTCTACCAATTGAGGTAGTCCAGCATCTGCAGTTTGCCCATTCCTGGAAAATCCCACTTATGCAGACATCCCATCATCCAACATCCAGTAGAGGGGGTCCAGACCTGAAAGAACAATCAAGTCTTGGTAACCATCTAAAACACCAACAGGATGGGAGCCAAAAGGAATCTCATTCCAGAAGGCAGGCATTTATGTCAGAGAATACCTGCTTCCTGATATCGTGATAAATGGCATGGTTTATTTGAAAGACCTTGAAATAAAGTCTGGTGTGGCAAACTTGTGAGCCTGAGAAAGTCAGGCATACATATGAGAGATAGGTGGTCTTTCAAATAATCAGGCCCTATGCCATGGAGGGCTTCGTAGGTCATGAGTAGCACCTTGAATCATATCCAGAAGTAGTCTACAATGTAGCATGTGGAGCAGAGGTGTCATATCAGCATACTAACGCATGCCCTTAACTACCTACACCAATTCATTGTGGACTAGTTGAGGTTTACAAGTAGTCTTCAAGGGCAGCTCCATGTACAGCATGTTGCCACAGTTGAGCCATGAGATTATTACAGCATGAATGAGGGAAGGATGTCCCAGTCTAGAAAAGGGTGTATCTCTTATACATTCTTTACGTGTTTTTTTTTTTTTTTTTACTCATATGGGACGAAATAAAGGAGTAAAACATTAGTTCAGTGGTCAGCTTTCTTTAACCACTTTCTATGGTTTTACTGGTTTTATTGATTATAACATGCTTTGAGATCCTACAAAATAGGGAATGTTATAAACATCTTAATTATGTCAGCAAACAATAAAAATTAATCCTTCCTACTGTGTTGGACAATCCCCAGAATCTCCAGTGAGGCTGACAATAAATATGGAAATCTACTCCAAGCCTCTTCAAATACAGAGCCCTTATGATGGTTTGCTGTGATTCTTTTTCTCTCTTAAATAAAACATGGTTAATAGAATTTACATCCAACGTTTATTGAAAATCATAAAGTAGTATATGTGGTCTTCAGGTGTTCTACAAATCAGAATCTGACCTTTAATGCTGCCAAACATTTTTCCCAGTAGATTTTGTTTAGTGTCTCTTTGCTATTTCACTGTTTTCTACAATTCAAAGCCTTTTTTTGTTAAATATTGTTCATGTTGACAGCACCCTATAATTAATCACCTGCAGCATAACCAAAATATTTTAGAGATTGTTCTTTAGAGGACTATCAGTAGCAAATGGGTGAAAATGTCTACATGCCACTTGGTAATTATGAACAATATTCCTCCCATTCTGAGCATCCTCTGCATAGTAGTAGAGAAACTACTATCCTTACTTCCTGGTAGAAGTAGATTTACAACAGATAAGGTCCTTTGCAAATATGCTCAGGATTGCACACGTACTGTTTCTTCCTGATACCACTATATTCTTTTGCAAAAAAAAAAAAAAGCTTATTTTGCATAATCCATCCACATATTGTTTGCTTACTGTTACTTCTAAAAGCCTCTATGCTTATCAGAATGCTTCTACTTTCTTTGAGGACTTCCCATTAGAATCTAGATAACTTTTGCAGAAGTTATAGGTTATTTGTCTCATATTCCCTGATCTTTGCCCACATTAGCTGACCAATTTCAAGAACTGCAGTTGAAAAAATCTGGAAGAAGTCAGTTTGGGACATGCTGCTATGAGCCACCTATGCCTGATTTTGATTCTTGTAGTACTTTAATATCTATCAAAAGTGTGCCAAAATCCTTAATTATTCAATTTGTTTGTGACATTACATTTCGATTTTCATTCAATGTAATTATGTTTTCCGTCTGGAACTCTCCAAATTTCCCAAATCATTCTTCTCTTTTTTTTCCCAACTAAGCAATGTCTTCAGTACAGTACCAAGAGCACTTTATTTCTAAGAACCCAAATTCATTCTTTTTATTTTTTTAAGACAATAGATCTGTCAAGTTTCAAATACATTAGAAAAAAGGTTTCTGTTTCATAGAAAAATGTGTAAAATGCTGCAGGCTTGTAAAACAATTGATTACTTTTAAGGTAGTGGCTTTTTGACTGGCGTCTTCTAAGTATTCTATAATTAAAGTCACACTCTCAAATGGGAATCAGGAAGTGAATATATTAGAAATTCATTTTCCCCAGGTGATCTGGTGGGATGAACTGCAATTTGTATCTAGATTAGGTGTGGATTTCAGACCCAATGTCCCCAAACCTCTGGACTACCTGGAACCAATGACACAAACTTGGCAGGAAAAAAGGGGGGGGGGGGGTGGTATTTGAATTATTTCTCATTTTCCATTCAGTTTGCTCAGTATGTGTCCCATTCTTTGCCTCCCTATCTCATTTGCTCAGTCTATTTACAGTTGACTAGCTGTAACATGCAGATCTTTGACTTACTTAATATGTTATAACTAGTCTATCTTCTCAAGGATGTCCTCATTTTTTTAAAAAATTACTCCATTCCTTTGTATTATTATACCTATTCCATAACCACCTTGTTTTATACTGCTGGTTACATGAGCAAATAAGTGTCGTTTATTTAAAAACTTAATCATGGGGGGAAATGGGTCTTTCATTCTGTCCCCTTGAGATTACAGATGAAGGGACAAAAACAGGTATTAACATGCCAGTATGGAATGCTTTGACCTGGGAAATAGCCATATTCTTAGACCCAAAATCAGGTAGAAGGAATGGGAAGGTGGACTTACTAGGGAGATCTGGCAAGTTCATGCCATTATCAGTGACAAGATACTCTTCCCTGCAATTGAAAGAAATCTTATAAGCCACCCACATATTTCACAGGAAATTGAGCAGCTCTTTTGGTTGCAGTCTGTGTTTTCTATCGATCTGACATTCTACTGTATTACCCGTTCAGTATGTCAGACATGTGAAACTTTAAACAGATATTTAGATATTCTTTTAGAAAATGGAGATATACAATTCAATCTTTACATATAACCAGAAGAGAATGTTTCAGCAAGACTCCAAAGAAAATGAAAGACGTTTTGCAAAATGACCCCAAAAATTCTATCCAGCAATGATTTATTCTCATTAAAACCTACAGGTTTATTTTTAAAAATGCACACAGCACTTAAAAATGACAACTATTTTCCAAATGTTATTTCTACCAAAGGAAATAGTACCAGAAACTTGATCTAGATAGACATTTTCAAAGCATTTATTTAAATTACTAAAAGGGGTGTAGTTCAGAATAGTAGATTCAAGATTTCTTAAATTAGCGAAGTATTGAACCTTTGATCTTCTAAATCTCTGCCTGATACTGAGTTATGGGACCTGTCCTGTGATGAATGGATTGTCACTTCTAAATCTCCGATCCTGTAATATTACGAAGTCTTTGCTAATTTGGTAGATTACTAAAAATTCAAAGCATCTATGTATTTAAGCTTCAGCAAGAAAAATATGCCACCATTTCCCTTCCTGTGTTGATTTTTCTTGGTCTTAACTTTCTATTGTTGCCAAAAAGAGTGAAATGAACAATGTTACTATAAGGACTAACATAATTCTCCCCAATTCTGGGTCATGGTGGAACATGGAATGACTAGGAATACTACTTACTCATAGTCAGTCTTGGCAAATCCTAACACCGGAGAAATACTGAATATGGATATTGCTATTATTTCACTTATGAAGCTTGAGGTATGAAGTTTCTCCTTTAAAATGAACATTTCTCTGCTCTTAGAAGCTAAGGTTCAAGAAATCTGAGGACCCTATGGAAAATATTTCATGGATTATGGGACTGAAGCCAAAATGGATGTTTTAAAATTTTTAATCAGTTGTTACCGTATTTGCCGGCGTATAAGACGACTTTTTTGCCCCGAAAAACATGCCTCCAAGTGGGGGGGTCGTCTTATACGCCGGTATATCCACTGCCGGCTTTTGGATGCTTGTTGGACGCAGCGAAGGCGCCTCTGGCTTCCTGGATCCCCTGCGTCGCTTCCGCTTCATCCCGCTCGCCTCGCTCCGCCCGAGGCTGCAGCCTTCCTGCTCTTCCCACGGCCCCTGGCACTCTGCCCTGCCGCTGCAGCCCCGGGGATTTCTGGAGGGCGTTTCCGGTGGTGGTGGGGGGTCGTCTTATACGCCGGGTCATCTTATACGCCGGCAAATACGGTATTTTAATTTTAGCTGTCCAAGTGCTAATCTTATCTGTTTAATTGTGCCAATGTGATATTTCTTCCAAGTACTGTAAGTTCTAACTTAATACTCTTCTTCAAATTTTCGTAATTCTTTGACATGTTAAAATTGGATGCAATTTTAAAGGACTCTTGTAATATTTAAATCACTATTGTAAACATATTAAAAATGGACTGATATTCTTGGGAACTTCCTATACATGTCACAGACTCAAAACAGGCACATTATATATATACATGGGAAAACTGAAGACAGAGGAACATCTGTTCTGTGACTTGTCATTTACTTGACAATTACTTGTGAAATAATCTTATCTCTTGTTTTACAAAGAAAGCGCATTGACACATACGCTTGTATTCTAAGAGGATCTGTTGCATCTGGAAATATCTGTTCACAGAAGATTTTCCTCCTTCTGCCCTTCCACTCTCAGGATAGCTTATAGAATAGAGGGAGTCACTGCTCAATATCAGGCATCTGAGAGATTCCACTTTTTGATGATTATGAGAATTTTGTTTCAGTTTTGATGCTGAGACCTTAAGCTGTTCACCCAATTATATTGTTTATTAAGGTACTTCATTGGTATTTCATAATGTTCTTTTTCCTCGGAGTAGGCAATAGTTTAACTCCAACGAAATGTCAACTTTTGGAACATCCACCTGGACTTCTGCTGTTTTAACTATTATTTGTAGGAAGAAAGGAGGCATCCAGTGGAGAAGCTGTAAGAGTCTATCTTCTTTCACTGACACTTGAAGCAGGCACAAGGAGAGCAAAGATGCTGATGAGAATGGATCAACCCCTCAAGACGAGTTACTATTTCATAGTCGGGAAGAGCCACAGTGTCAATATTGAGACCCAGCATGCGAGAGATGACTCTTCGGAAATCTGCCAGCTGCAAGAGTAAAGGCAAACAAATATGGTAGACTATATGACATGTCTTCTCCCAAATCAAAATGCTGGCTTACAGCAATCTACACCTGAAACTCCTCTTGATATTTCTATTATCTGAAAAGATGTCAGGAGTGGCCAGCAGATGAGCCTCTTTTAGTGGTGTCACCAGCCTTAACTACACGGAACTCACGATGGAGCAAAAATAATTATTTTGTTTGTTTCTCGAGAATTCTCTAAGTTACAGGAATTGAAGTCTAACTAGTGAAACCTAGTCTAAAGAGCCCAGTATGTTTTGTAATTCAGTGGCATATTCTTACCAAAACTAGGGACCTCTGAAGAGGATGTGCTACACATTCTGAGTCTCTCAGTTTCACAGCAATATACAGGTAGTTCTCAATTTCTAGGTTCTATTATATTACATGACCTAAAACGGACACCTAAAATCAAAAACGTCATCAAAAAAGCACAACAAAGAATGTTCTTTCTGCAACAACTCAGAAAGCTCAAACTGCCCAAGGAGCTGCTGATCCAGTTCTACAGAGGAATGATTGAGTCTGTCATCTGCACCTCTATAACTGTCTGGTTTGGTTCTGCAACCCAACAGGACAGACACAGACTTCAGAGGATAATTAGGACTGCAGAAAAAACAATTACTACCCACCTGCCTTCAATCGAGGACCTGTATACTGCACAAGTCAAAAAGAGGGCTGTGAAAATATCTACAGACCCCTCACATCCCGGACATAAACTGTTTCAACTCCTTCCCTCAAAACGATGCTATAGAGCACTGCACACCAGAACAACTAGACACAAGGACATTTTCTCCCGAACACCATCACTCTGCTAAACAAATAATTCCCTCAACACTGTCCAACTATTTACAAAGTTTGCACTACTTATTAATCTTCTCATCACTCCTTATTACCCACCCCTCCCACTTGTGACTGTATGACTGGAACTTAGTTGCTTGTATCCTTACGATCTATACTGACTGTTTCCTAGTATGATTTGATTGCTTATTGTACCCTATGACTATCATTAAGTGTTGTACCTTATGATTCTTGACACTTGACGAATGTATCTTTTCTTTTATGTACATTTAGAGCATTTGCACCAAGACAAATGCCTTGTGTGTCCAATCACACTTGGCCAATAAAGAATTCTAAATTCTAAAAACTTACAACAGTTCATTTAGTGACCGTTCAAAGTTAAAACAGCACTGAAAAAAGTGATTTACGACAATTTTTCACGGTTATGGCCATTGCAGCATGCTCATAGTCACATGATTGAAATTCAGATGCTTGGCAACTGGTTCATATTTATGACCGTTGCTGTGTCCCATGGTCATGTGGTCACAATTTGCAACCTTTTGATCGGCAGGGTCAATGCGGAAGCCAGATTCATTTAACAACGGTGTTACTAACTTAACAACGGCAGTGCTTCACTCAACAGCTGTGGCAAAAAAAAGTTGTAAAATGGGTAAAAATTCACTTAATAATTGTCTCAACAACAGAAATTTCGGGGTCAATTGTGGTTGTAAGTCAAGAATTATCTGTAGTTGCTGTTTGTTTATTTCTGCACCTTCCAATCAACTGCCTGAACTAACCCTGCCTGAACTAGTCCTAGTAATTTTCTTGGCAAGATTTTGCCCTTGCTTCCTTCTTAAGGCTGAAAGAGAGCTGCTTTGTGCGTGAGGTAGAAGTAGAACTCATGGTTTCCAGGTTTCTAGCCCGTTGCCTTAACCACTACATCAAACTGGCTCACATATATATTTACCCACCTAGAAAAAGAAATTATTTCCTCAAAAATGGCTGCCCAAGAGAATAAAAATTTAAAAAAAAAACACCTAAGTGCATTTCTGAAATCTTTATATTATTATATTTTGCACTTCAATGTCAGTTTTCAGTTTTAGATGCTAAAAAGCAGGCAACATACATTCAACACATCAATCAGTAAATGTTTTGGAACCCTTCCTCGTGACATTTCGTTAAAAATAAAAAAACTATGGAAGAATATCTCCCAAGAGAAGCACATTCCCCTTCTCCTGTCTGAAGTTGTGGTGCCTGGGCTTAGATTTAACATCTTCATTAAAGTCAGAGAGACGTCAGGTAGATAAATAGGTAAATGTACAGTTTAATCTACTTATTAATATAGGAATTAATACAGGAAGGAAGCTGAAAGTAATTGTTTTGTGCCAAACATTGGAGCATACTGTGATTTTTTTAAAAAAAACAAATCAAAATAGAGGGGAAAATTTAAAGTTCTGTGTAATTTGTATTGGAGTCACATATTTAATATTGTACACCTCACTGCACGATCTGAATTCATCTTAAAATACGTTCAGACCTTTGTGGGTCAGTGTGTTTGAAAGGTCGCATGCCAAAGGCTTACAATTATTGTTTGTTCTTTAGTCTTGTGCTATTAAAATAGATGACATTTGATGTAACAGATTGCAATATTTTTGTTTTTGAAAGGAAGGGAAGTTTTGAAAAATAAGTAAAACTCTATCTATAAAACATTAGAGTTACATTCACACAGATCATCAAGCACGTCTGTTCCATAAGTGGGCATTTGTGGCTCAAAGGTTTCATTTGATCATTGTGTGTTGTTCCCAGAGAAACTATTTTTCTTGGAAAAGTGTAATGAAGACACCTATCTGTGGGTCCTCCCCTTTAGGATGAGATTTCAAAAACACATCGGGCCTAAATTAGATTGTGCAGAAGTATAATAATAATTGCAAAGTAAGGGATTTAAGAGAAAAACACTCTTCATGCCCTAGGTTTGTTTTTTTGTTTTTGTTTTGCTTAAAATAAAGACTTTTCCAATATAGTCTTGAGCAGGGGTGGGATTCAAATTTTTTAACAACCGGTTCTGTGGGCATGGCTTAGTTGGTGGGCATGGCTTGGTGGTCATGTGACTGGCTGGGCATGGCCAACTCAACATCACTCACATTGAGGCACGCATCTCCTCGCCTGGCCTCTCATGACTGTGGGGATACTGCAATAGTCGCAAGTGTGAAAAATGGTCATGTCACTTTTTTCAGTGCCATTGTAACTTTGAATGGTCACTCCACACAAGCAAAGTACCAGCAAAGGAAGAGAAAAAAACTCCAGAGACGTTCCTGAGACAGGAAGTCTAGTCCTGCCAAGAATGTAATAAGGGTTAATGGAGAGGCAGTTTCTGTAAGCAACACCAGAATGTTTCCTTCCTGCCTTCCTTACAGGATTAGGCCAGTAATTTCTTCTAACAACTGGTTCTCCGAACTGCTTAGAATGTTAACAACCGGTTCTAGCAAATAGATGCGAACCTGTCGAATCCCACCCCTGGTCTTGAGACCATTTAACAGAGATAGAGAGAAATATGCAAAGAGAGGACTCTTTGCCAAAGAACTTCTAAATAATTCATACTTGCACAAGTCTCCAAACAACAAAACACAGCTGACCTCATACAACCATGATGGCGAACCTATGGCACGCGTGCCAGAAGTGGCACGCAAAGCCATCTCTGTTGGCATGCGAGCCATCACCCCAGAGGTCTACTGCACAGGCACGCCCGCCGCCCGCCCGCCAGCTGATCGTCACATAGCTGCCACGCATGTGTGGGGGGCAGGGCGTGCACAGGAGACGCGTGCTCATGCACAAAAATGCATGGTGTGCATAGGGGGTCACACACGCATGCACAGAAACGTGTGGCATGTGCAGGGGGTCTTGTGCGAATGTGCAGGGGGTATGGGGGTCCTACGTGCATTGCCTTATAGGTGCTGGCACGGGTGCATGTGCGCGTGCACACATTTGGCACGTGAGGATGGAAAGGTTCGCCATCACTGCCATAGAACAAAGCTGACCCAGAATAATTGCAGCTGTGACTTGGTCAATAAACAGTAGTGGAAAAGGCCACTGGAATAGAGTAGAGTAGAGTAGAGTAGAGTAGAGTAGAGTAGAGTAGAGTA